TTTTTTTAGTGAACGGCGCTATGAAGAATTGTGTCGTAATATTATTAGTGATATGAATCAGTATGGCCTCTCGGTGGTAGATGATTCTGGGCCGTGAAAAAGGTTTACAAATCTTAAATGAAGTACATAAAATGTATTCAGCCGGTGTCTTTAAGGATGGTCAATTAGTTAATAATATGAAATCTGAACAAGATTTACGTACAATACGTGGTGATAAAATAACATGGGTTAAGGGTGTTGAGCGTGGCTGTTCAAATGTTGGTTATCTAATAAATCAAGTAAGTTGAACAATATTTTTAATAGATTTTTCTTATATTAATTGGAAATTATTGTTTTTTTTTTCCAGATTGATGCTGTTATATGTCGAGCAAATAGCATGAGAAATAATGGCAAATTGGGTGATTATGTTATAAAAGAAAGAACAAAGGTGAGTTTTTTCTTTAATTTTTTGTTGTATTGTTTAATTGTTTATAAAAAACATTATCCATAACTTTAATTTTATATTAAAAATTAATTGATTGAAAATCTAAAGTTAAATCTAATGATAATTTTAGTTTTCTATGGAAAACTTTATCGATAAGCTGAACTTCTGAAAAATTTCGTATAAAAATTTATCGATTAATTTAGTTTTTTGCAGACTGATAGATAGTTAGTTAGTTAGTTAGTAGTTAGTTAGTTAATTAGTTTTAGTTAGTTAGTTTTAGTTAGTTAGTTAGTTAGTGTTAGTTAGTTAGTTTAGTTAGTTAGTTATAGTTAGTTAGTGTTAGTTCGTGTTAGTTAGTTTAGTTAGTTAGTTCGTTAGTTCGTTAGTTAGTTCGTTAGTTAGTTCGTTCGTTCGTTCGTTAGTTAGTTCGTTAGTTCGTTCGTTCGTTTAGTTCGTTCGTTTCGTTCAGTTCTTCGTTCGTTCGTTCGTTCGTTCGTTCGTTTCGTTCGTTCGTTCGTTCTTTTCGTTGTTCGTTCGTCGTTCGTTCGTTTCGTTCGTTCGTTTAGTTCGTTCGTTCGTTAGGTTCGTTAGTTCGTTGTTGTTCGTTGTTCGTTGTCGTTAGTTCGTTAGTTCGTTCGTTTATGCTTCGTTAGTTTTGTTCGTTTTTTCGTTAGTTAGTTCGTTAGTTTGAAGAATTTAAGCTAATTTAATTGAAGGAAATTGCCGACTTAGTCTCCTGGGTCTCTGGGAGTTCGCAATCACCGACCTCAGGACTAACAGACTAGATCCCAACCACTTACCTAACTATTATAACAGCGCGAATCAATCTGTCGATTTAAAATAAAGTTCCTTTTATATCTTCTTCCTTCTACTTTAATTTTAAATAAAATTTTTCAAGTGAATCTTTTATTCAATTGAAATTTGATGATGACATAAATTTTCTATAGAAAGATATTCATAAATTATTACAATTCTATATAACTTATTCCTCGATAACAAAAATTTATCAATAAAAACTAATTTCATTAATTTCTCTTTTTTGATTTTCAGGCGATGGTAGCTTGTTACCCTGGCTCTGGTTCTCACTATGTCATGCATGTCGATAATCCCAATAAAGATGGTCGAGTTATTACCGCAATTTACTACTTGAATCTCGATTGGGATTCCAGAAATAGTGGCGGTGTCTTAAGGTAATTATTACTTATACTTTAGTAACAATAACACAAAATATTTACTTTTTTTCGTTCTGATTTCCTTACAGAATCTTTCCCGAACAAACAAAATCTGTGGCGGATATAGAACCCAAATTCGATCGTTTAATATTCTTTTGGTCAGACAAAGAAATCCCCACGAAGTACAACCTGCCCATAGAACACGTTATGCCATTACGGTTTGGTATTTCGATGCCAATGAACGTGAACAGGCGTTAAAATCGTTGTAAAAATTCTCAAAATTCTAATAATGCTAATAACAGTCTAACTAGTAATAGTGCGTCAGCGTCCAGTAATAGCAATACAGAAAATAAACCTACAGATGCCACAGCATCAGCAAATTACTACTTCCACCTCCACATGTCCCCGCGTCAACACCTGCCTCTCCTCCTAATACACAATCTATAGCAACAACATCATCATCATCATCTTCCTCACCGGCAACAACAACGAATGATATTTCAAAAAATCCTGCGGCTACAACAATACAAAATTCCTCAAGACCCATACAAGTGGTGCGACCAAATTCTTATAAATAACAAATCCTTATTATATGAAATTGTATAAAACAATAATACTAATAATAAGGCTTAATAAGGGTCTTTACTTATGTGAAACACTAAACATTTTAAATAACCAAGTGATATAAACAAATTAAGAAGAAGACCCTTTGTTATTAATACCTTAAATTACGCTTAAAATTCAAAAATCAAACCAGAGAGAATACTGAATACAATAACTGTATTTTATTATTAACACAATACAGAAAAATATTCCTAATTTCTGGCAAAAATATTTCAGAATTAAGTATATCTAATTGTATGTACCTTTTTTTTATAATTTAAACAGTCAAACCAACCTTGTAGTCGTAGTTGAAAGAAACTAAAAACAAGCAAAACAGTCATTTACATAAAACCCAAATTATATTTGCTATTAATTATTAAGTTCCAAAAATGTCTTATAGAAACAAAAACAAAAAACAAACCCTACAAAAGAATCTTCTATATTAGTAGATTTATTAAATAATTTTCTAGTTTTAACACTTGCAACAAAAGAAAAAAATGCTACATTTATATACTTTTCTGTAGTTAGAATAACAAAAAAAAGTATTAAAATTATTTAATATTTTACTTTTTTCAAAAATCCCCCAAAAATATGTCAAAAATTAGCAAATAACATGTATACTTATTTTACAAACAACAATAATTTATATCTCATTAATTTAAACAATCAAAATTATTTTATAATAAACAGAATTTTTGTATATAAAAATGTTTTTATTGTGTTTTTTTTTTTTTCTTTTTTTAATAAAACTTTTTTCTTTAAACAAAAAGTCTTTTTTCTTAAATTTTGTTTGTTTCTTTTAAAGTTTTCATTAATTTGCAAATCATGAATTTTATATATAAAAAACTATTTATATTTCTATTATAATTTGTATTATACTTATATATTTTTTATTTAAATAAGTAAAAAACAATTTAGCAAAATAATGTTGTGTCTTTTTTTTCTAAATACATATTTTGCTTTGTGTCAAAAATAAGTTATAAATATCATTATTATTTTTTAGTTAATACAAATTAACCAAGAAATTTATATTCATTGAAAATAATTGATTTGTATATATCAATAAATTTTTATTATAAATAAACAATATTGAAAATTATTTAGAACGTTGTGTTTTCTTTTCAGGGTTTAGTTTGAGTTAAGAGTTATACTAGATATATACATCCAAATAAAAGAGTCTTAATTGATAGTTATAGAAGTGTTTGCGGACGGAATACGTATTTTGATATTATTCATTTTAGCGTAAGGCCAAGTACTTAATTTTACGGGTAGAAATAAGTTGACTGTCTAAGTACTAGAATAATTATTTTTTTTGTTAGTTAGTTGGTTAGTTAGTTAGTTAGTTAGTTAGATAGTTAGTTAGTTAGTTAGTTAGTTAGTTAGTTAGTTAGTTAGTTAGTTAGTTAGTTAGTTAGTTAGTTAGTTAGTTAGTTAGTTAGTTAGTTAGTTAGTTAGTTAGTTACTTAGTTAGTTAGTTAGTTAGTTAGTTAGTTAGTTAGTTAGTTAGTCAGTCAGTTAGTTAGTTAGTTAGTTAGTTAGTTAGTTAGTCAGTTAGTTAGTTAGTTCGTTAGTTAGTTAGTTAGTTTGTTAGTTAGTTAGTTAGTTAGTTAGTTAGTTAGTTAGTTAGTTAGTTAGTTAGTTAGTTAGTTAGTTAGTTAGTTAGTTAGTTAGTTAGTTAGTTAGTTAGTTAGTTAGTTAGTTAGTTAGTTAGTTAGTTAGTTAGTTAGTTAGTTAGTTAGTTAGTTAGTTAGTTAGTTAGTTAGTTAGTTAGTTAGTAGTTAGTTAGTTAGTTAGTTAGTTAGTTAGTTAGTTAGTTAGTTAGTTAGTTAGTTAGTTAGTTAGTTAGTTAGTTAGTTAGATAGATAGATAGTTAGTTAATTAGCTAGTTAGTTAGTTTAGATTACAGACTAAAGTTTAGAGTATAGAATAAACTATTGTCGAGACTATAGATAGTCCAGACTATAGACTAGACTATAGCCTATAGACTAGACTGAAGGTACAGTGAAATAACTCCCAAACCCAAACATTTTCCGTTAATTAGTTAGTTAGACTGTAGACTAGAAGATTATAGACTCCGCTATAGTCTAGATGAGAAAACTATAGACTAGACTATAGACCAGACTAGACTAGAAGACTACAGACTAGATTACATGCTAGACTATAGACTAGACTACAGACTACACTATATACTAGACTATAGACCAGACTATAGACTAGACTATATGCTAGACTATAGACTAGACTATAGACTAGACTATAGACTAGACTATAGACTAGATTATAGACTAGACTATAGACTAGACTATATACTAGACTATAGACTGGACTATAGGCTGTACGACAGATTAGACTAGGCTATAGACTAAACTATAAACTAGACCATGAACTAGACTATAGAATAACCTATAGACTAAACTATAGACTAGACTATAGCCTAGACTATACACCAGATTATAGACTAGACAATAGACTAGACTATAGACTAGACTATAGACTAGACTATAGACTAGACTATAGACTAGACTATAGACTAGACTATAGACTAGACTATAGACTAGACTATAGACTAGACTATAGACTAGACTATAGACTAGACTATAGACTAGACTATAGACTAGACTATAGACTAGACTATAGACTAGACTATAGACTAGACTATAGACTAGACTGTAGTCTTGATTATAATTTAGTTTATGGCCTAATCTATTGTCTGGATTATAGCAAAGTCGTAGATAAATCCGATAGTCTGTACATATTATAATGTGAATTTATATGTTGTCTATAGTCTGGAAAATAGGACAGTCATGTTCATGGTCCAAAATATGGGCTAAAGTTTAGTCTCGATATTCTATAGTCTGAATTATTGTTTAATATTGTATCTTTTTAAAAACGTATTTATTGTGCATGCAGCCACTGTCCGAATCATATGAACAAGTAACTATCAAAACGCAATGCATACCTTAAGGCTTTATTATTAATATGAAAAACAAAGCGGAACCTTATAAAGAGGAAATGGTTTGAACTTATAATTTTGAACGGAAATGAAGCTAAATAATTAAAATAATTTTGCATTCAGAGGGAAAACTTACTTTATTAATTAGTACATATTTATATAAACAAATAGAAAACACATTTATTAAAATATTTTTTTGCTTTATTTTCAGAAATAAATTTTTAAATGAGTTTTTGTTTTATGTTTAGTTTTCATACATTATATTTTATTTTAAATTTACTGATAACATGTTTGTTTGTTGGTTGTTTGTTATGTTTTGTGTGTTGTATGTAAGTATATATTGTTGGTAGTAGTTTATTAATATATGTAGTTGTTTAAAGTTTTTTATGGTTTATTTGTTTATTTATAAATGTATGTGTGTAATTTTGTAAAAATATGTATGTATGATTTAGTATGTATACTACAGCAAACTGTTTAATGTTGTTTTTTTAATAAATAATTTTTGTTTTATGTTTTGTTTTTGTATATGTTTGTGTATATTTATGTATGTATGTGTGTATATTTCTTACTATCACGTTTAACAAATATTTTCTTTTCTTTTTAATATATTTTATATAGATTTTTTTGTATTTATTTAGTTATAACACAATAATATTTATAATATATATATATATTTTTTAATTTAAGGGCATTATTATTTTCTTTTTTATTAATTTTTCTTTGCAGTTTTCATAATTGCTACAATTTAATTTTACAAAAAAAAAAAACAAATAATAAATCATAATAATTGTTTAACTTTTTTTCATCATGGCTACTTATAATTTATCGGTAGTGTTGTTTGTTTATTAAATTTTTTTTTTTTTAATTTTTATATATTTTTCTATGTTTAATGGTTTTTAATAAAGTACATACATTTTTTAACAGAAAATATTATAAATTATTGTTTTTATACATTTTTTTTAATAATTAGCTGAAATTTAAGTTTATTTCTCTAATATTTACAAAAAATATTGCAAATATTTATTTTATCTATTGCAGTTAATTTATCATTTACATTTTCTTTATCCACTCTGAACTTTAAAGTTTATTTGTTATTTAATTTATGCTTTTGTATCCTTAACTATTGCACTTTTTTGAACATTTTTTAGTTAAATCTTTTTTAAGTAAAAAAATATTTGTTTTTATATTTCTTAAATAACCGACTTTCTGTATTTTTTCCATTTCCTTTTGCTCTATTTATGTGTGTGTGTGTGTGTGAAAGAAAGTGAGAGAGAAAGAGTTAAGTTAGTATTATTGCTTTTACTCTATTTAGGTCTTTTTTACTATTAACTGTTATTTTTTACCTAACTTACACATACAATGTACGTACACTATTCATATTTGAAGGTTAACAACGTTTCCGTTTTCCGGTTTATCATTTACATTAGAGTTTTAGATTTGTTATTGCAAGTAGTAATACATATGTCTGAAAACAACTAAACCATAATAGAAATGAAACTTTTTTGATTATTTTAATTAGTGTATGCTTTTAATATCATTTATTTTAGATTTTTATAAAAACATTCATTTCTTTAACTATTTTTAACTGGTTTCTTTAACATGGTGCACACATCTATATATTAATATTTCAATGCAGCTTTTGGTTTGCTCTCAATCAATGTGATCAATAATCTTGCAATTTGGTTTAAATATTTTAACTACATATTTTGTAAATATGCTATAGAATTTAATCACTACCAAATTATTTTTTAATATTTAATATTAGAACTAAAATTGCATGTTCAAAAGGAAATCTGATAGATTTTCTTATTCTATAGTCTAAATAGTCCATAGTGCTGGTTATAATCTAGTCCAAATCCTGGCTATGGTCTAGACGATAGCTTATTCATAGACGATATGGTCTAGACGATAGCTTATTCATAGCTTATAGTTTAGTCTAAGTCTAGTCTATAGTCTAGTCTATGGTCTAGTCATAGTCTAGTCTATAGTCTAGTCTATAGTCTAGTCTATAGTCTAGTCTATAGTCTAGTCTATAGTCTAGTCTATAGTCTAGTCTATAGTCTAGTCTATAGTCTAGTCTATAGTCTAGTCTATAGTCTAGTCTATAGTCTAGTCTATAGTCTAGTCTATAGTCTAGTCTATAGTCTAGTCTATAGTCTAGTCTATAGTCTAGTCTATAGTCTAGTCTATAGTCTAGTCTATAGTCTAGTCTATAGTCTAGTCTATAGTCTAGTCTATAGTCTAGTCTATAGTCTAGTCTATAGTCTAGTCTATAGTCTAGTCTATAGTCTAGTCTATAGTCTAGTCTATAGTCTAGTCTATAGTCTAGTCTATAGTCTAGTCTATAGTCTAGTCTATAGTCTAGTCTATAGTCTAGTCTATAGTCTAGTCTATAGTCT